TGATCGAAACATTCTTTTATTGAAGACTTTCTCTGTCTCAGTGAGATTGATTTGCTACTTGTGGGCTTACTGCCTCCCCGTCATAGTCGTGCACTTGCTATTGCAAGGTCACTGCTTAGCTGAGAGACTAACAGTGAATATTGTGCTGATGGTGCCACCTGGTCGGAACGATTCCTTAGGCACCAGTCTTGGCACTCCTCCGTGAGAGGTGCGACAGAGAGAGAGAGAGAGAGAGAGAGAGAGAGAGAGAGAGAGAGAGAGAGAGAGAGAGAGAGAGAGAGAGAGAGAGAGAGAGAGAGAGAAGGAGAGAGAGAGAAAAAAGGAGAGAGTAAAATAAAACAAATGCTTGCTGGGCTCCCTCGTCATCAGGAGAATGAGGGTGACGGTGAAAGTAGTGTTTGGAGGTGTAATAACAAACAACTAATAACAAGATGGGGAAGGCACAGTGTGTCAACATTGAGACTTGTGTACGTGGGAAGTGTGTGTGCGTGTGTGTGTGTGTGTGTGTGTGTGTGTCACGCTGAGAATTGTCTGCTTGATGAATGTCCTCCGATGTATCTCCCTTGTGGGTTTAGCACATAGCTTTCATAAAAATAGTAATACAGTAATAATAATCAGTTTTACCCACAGAACGCGATCATTGTGTCCATTATAAAAATTACTGATGAGATATCGAGTCAACCAGTACACGTTGAATGACGTGGGTGAGTGACGCTGTTACGTTCAGTGATACCATGTGGTTTCAGAAATACGGAACACTATTCGGACGGTGGCAGCATTTGCTGAAGATATCATGTATAATTGAAACGATGGCAGCATTTGCAGAAGATATAATGTATAACTGCAACCGTGGCAGCATTTGCAGAAGATATAATGTATAATTGCAACGTTGGCAGCATTTGCAGAAGATATCATGTATAATTGCAACGGTGGCAGCATTTGCAGAAGATATAATGTATAATTGCAACGGTGGCAGCATTTGCAGAAAATATCATGTATAATTGCAACGGTGGCAGCATTTACAGAAGATATGTATAATTGCAACGGTGGCAGCATTTGCAGAAGATATCATGTATAATTGCAACGGTGGCAGCATTTGCTGAAGATACCATATACTGATGGTATACAGTGCCGACGAACTGATGAACAGCATTCAGATATTCTTATTGCCGAAACGTTTCGCCTGCCCAGCAGGATTCTTCAGTCGAATACAGCACTGGAGACAGAAGTAATTTTGACGTAAATAGCCCATCACCCTCTATAGGAAGTGGTCAGTCCCCATGCCTGCGGCTAAGCCATATATGCTATAGGAGATGAGAGGTGCAGCGGTTGGAGGTTAGGTCACAGGTGAGCGTGGCCCCCTACCTGTATTTCAGTGTGGTTGACGGGCCGCTAACAGAAACAGCCTGGTCCACCAGGCTATCAGCAAGGAGGTCTGGCCACAGGCCGGGCAGCGAGAGTAGGGGAAACCTCTCGCTTCTAGAAGATCACAGTAAACTTAACTAAGGTTTACCCTCGTGAAGAGTTACTGGGGTTGCCGTCAATACCAGTCTGAAACAATAACAGCAGCATCAGCAATAGCAACAATAACAGCAACATCAACAGCAACAACGACAGCAACAACTACGCCACGGACTTTGTTTACATCAAGAGCAGTATATCTCTCAGAGTATACATGGTCCAAGCTTACTTTAGTCCCTATTCACCTTTCTTAACAACTGTGTTGATGACTCAGTAATGTGTTGACTCAGCAGCCTGTGTTGATGACTCAGTAACGTGTTGACTCAGTAACCAGTGTTGATGACTCAGCAACGTGTTGACTCAGCAGCCTGTGTTGGTGACTCAATAACGTGTTGACCTTGAAACCTGTGTTGATGACCCAGCAACCTGTGTTGATTCATCAACCCGTATTGACGACCCAGTAAACTGCTACTGACCTCCATCACTTGAAACTCATCCAGCAGTCAGAAGATGGAAATACGAATGGAAATACAATCGTAGCGAACGATCGTAAACCCTTCGGAAAATGGATGGGAGGTCGAACTCGCGGTAAGGCGACGCTGTACCGTAGGTTCTGACCACGAAGAATTCGTACTTTGTATCCCCTACGAAGCAGCACTCATGGGATAGGGAGGGATTTGGGGGAGGGGAAGAAGGATGACTTGATACTGGTGAAATGCTTTTGATTGAAGGAACTGGAGCTAACTCTCGGCTTCCTCGGATCAAAAGTGATTACCTTACAGTCCGGTGCGATTTTTTTTCACTAACCGGTGATGGTGATGGTAATTTTAAATGATTTTTTTGATGTGGAAAACGTAAAACTGCGTTGTTTCCCCCCCTCTCTCTTTCACCCCCTCCTATTATTTTCCTCGTCCTCTTTCCCCTCTCTGCTCCTCCTTCATCCTCTCATGCTGGGTCGCTTTATCTTTGTGGTGGAGTGACTTGTTCTTGAGTAGGTGGGTGAGGTGGGGTGTTGGACGGGTGGGGAGGTGGTGGGAGTGTGTAGACGTTGGTGGGAATGTGGAGAGGTTGGTGGGAGTGTGGAGAGGTTGGTGGGAGTGTGTAGACGTTGGTGGGAATGTGGAGAGGTTGGTGGGAGTGTGGAGAGGTTGGTGGGAGTGTGGAGAGGTTAGTGGGAGTGTGGAGAGGTTAGTGGGAGTGTGGAGAGGTTGGTGGGAGTGTGGAGAGGTTGGTGGGAGTGTGGAGAGGTTGGTGGGAGTGTGGAGAGGTTGGTGGGAGTGTGGAGAGGTTGGTGGGAGTGTGGAGAGGTTGGTGGGAGTGTGGAGAGGTTGATGGGAGTGTGAGAGGTTGGTGGGAGTGTGGAGAGGTTGGTGGGAGTGTGGAGAGGTTGATGGGAGTGTGGAGAGGTTGGTGGGAGTGTGTAGAAGTTGGTGGGAATGTGGAGAGGTTGGTGGGAGTGTGGAGAGGTTGGTGGAGTGTGGAGAGGTTGGTGGGAGTGTGGAGAGGTTGGTGGGAGTGTGGAGAGGTTTGGTGGGAGTGTGGATAGGTTGGTGGGAGTGTGGAGAGGTTGGTGGGAGTGTGGAGAGGTTGGTGGGAGTGTGGAGAGGTTGGTGGAGTGTGGAGAGGTTGGTGAGAGTGTGGAGAGGTTGGTGGGAGTGTGGAGAGGTTGGTGGAGTGTGGAGAGTTGGTGGGAGTGTGGAGAGTTGGTGGGAGTGTGGAGAGGTTGGTGGGAGTGTGGAGAGGTTGGTGGGAGTGTGGAGAGGTTGGTGGGAGTGTGGAGAGGTTGGTGGGAGTGTGTAGACGTTGGTGGGAATGTGGAGAGGTTGGTGGGAGTGTGGAGAGGTTGGTGGGAGTGTGGAGAGGTTGTGGGAGTGTGGAGAGGTTGGTGGGAGTGTGAGAGGTGATGGAGTGTGGAGAGGTTGGTGGGAGTGTGGAGAGGTTTGGTGGGAGTGTGGAGAGGTTGGTGGGAGTGTGGAGAGGTTGGTGGGAGTGTGGAGAGGTTGGTGGAGTGTGGAGAGGTGGTGGAGTGTGGAGAGGTTGGTGGGAGTGTGGAGAGGTTGTGGGAGTGTGGGAGGTTGGTGGGAGTGTGGAGAGGTTGGTGGAGTGTGGAGAGTTGGTGGAGTGTGGAGAGGTTGGTGGAGTGTGGAGAGGCTGTGTGGGAGTGTGAGAGGTTGGTGGGAGTGTGGAGAGGTTGGTGGGAGTGTGAGAGGTTGGTGGGAGTGTGGAGAGGTTGGTGGGAGTGTGGAGAGGTTGGTGGGAGTTGGAGAGGTTGGTGGGAGTGTGGAGAGTTGTGGGAGTGTGCGAGAGTTGGTGGGAGTGTGCAAGGAGGAGGTTGGTGGGAGTGTGAGAGGTTGGATGGGAGTGTGGAGAGGTTGATGGGAGTGTGGAGAGGTTGATGGGAGTGTGGAGAGGTTGATGGGAGTGTGGAGAGGTTGTGGGTAGTTGTGGAGAGTTGGTGGGGAGTGTGGAGTAGGTTGGTGGGAGTGATGTGGAGAGGTTGGTGGGAGTGTGGAGAGGTTGGTGGGAGTGTGGAGAGGTTGGTGGGAGTGTGGAAGAGGTTGTGAGAGTGTGGAGAGGTTGGTGGGAGTGTGGAGAGGTTGGTAGGAGTGTGGAGAGGTTGGTGGGAGTGTGGAGAGGTTGGTGGGAGTGTGAGAGGTTGGTGGGAGTGTGGAGAGGTTGGTGGGAGTGTAGAGGTTGGTGGGAGTGTTGGGAGAGGTTGGTGGGAGTGTGGAGAGGTTGGTGGGAGTGTGGAGAGGTTGGTGGGAGTGTGGAGAGGGTTGGTGGGAGTGTGGAGGGTTGGTGGGAGTGTGGAGAGGTTGGTGGGTGAGTGTGGAGAGGTTGGTGGGAGTGTGGAGAGGTTGGTGGGAGTGTGGAGAGGTTGGTGGGAGTGTGGAGAGGTTGGTGGGAGTGTGGAGAGGTTGGTGGGAGTGTGGAGAGGTTGGTGGGAGTGTGGAGAGGTTGGTGGGAGTGTGGAGAGGTTGATGGGTATGTAGAGGTTGGTGGGAGTGTGGAGAGGTTGGTGGGGAGTGTGGAGAGGTTGGTGGGAGTGTGGAGAGGCTGGTGGGAGTGTGGAGAGGTTGGTGGGAGTGTGGAGAGGTTGGTGGAGTGTGGAGAGGTTGGTGGGAGTGTGGAGAGGTTGATGGGAGTTGTGCTGGGACGTTACAAGAGACAGTCTGAGACGTGAAGAGCCGCTACTGGTACGTTGCAAGAGCAGCTCTGGTACGTTGCAGAGCGCTTGGTAGTTGCAAGAGCCAGCTATGGTACGTTGCAAGTCAGCTACTGGTAGGTGCAAGAGCCGCTACTGGTAGTTGCAGAGCAGTACTGGTACGTTGCAAGAGCCGGTAGGTACGTTGCAAGAGCCAGCTATGGTGTTGCAAGAGCAGCTCTGGTACGTTGCAAGGAGCAGTACTGTACGTTGCAAAAGCAGCTACTGGTACGTTGCAGAGCCAGTATGGCCCGTTGCAAGAGCAGCTATGGTACGTTGAAGAGCCAGCTACTGGTACGTTGCAGAGCCAGTATGGTACGTTGCAAGAGCCAGTATGGTCGTTGCAGATCAGCTCTGGTACGTTGCAGAGCAGTACTGGTACGTTGCAGATCCAGTTTGGTACGTTGCAAGAGCAGCTACTGGTACGTTGCAAGTCAGTATGGTACGTTGCAAGTCAGTGACTGGTACGTTGCAAGAGACAGCTACTGGTACGTTGCAAGAGCCAGCTACTGGTACGTTGCAAGAGCCAGCTACTGGTACGTTGCAAGAGCCAGCTACTGGTACGTTGCAAGAGCCAGCTACTGGTACGTTGCAAGAGCCAGCTACTGGTACGTTGCAAGAGCCAGCTACTGGTACGTTGCAAGATCCAGCTACTGGTACGTTGCAAGAGCCAGCTACTGGTACGTTGCAAGAGCCAGCTACTGGTACGTTGCAAGAGCCAGCTACTGGTACGTTGCAAGAGCCAGGTACGTTGCAAGAGCCAGCTACTGGTACGTTGCAAGAGCCAGCTACTGGTACGTTGCAAGAGCCAGGTACTGGTACGTTGCAAGAGCCAGCTACTGGTACGTTGCAAGAGCAAGGTCGCCTCTTCAAACACACACACAGTTGCATGCAACACTGCCAACCAGTTTTATGACTTATTTAAAAAAATTGAGAATGAACCTAGTAAGGCTCTTCAGTTACTCGTTTTTAAGAGGTTACACCATCAGAACCGGTTTCCAAAGACATCTGGGCCACCAAGGTTCTGCACGTGGTCCACCACTGTCCCGCGAGTGTTCGTCACTGTCTCTTCACGTGGTCCACCACCGTGCCTTCACGTGGTCCACCACCGTCGCGTCGCGTGGTCCACCACCACTACCACCATCACCACCACCACCACTACCACCACCTCCACCATCACCACCATCACCACCATCACCTCCAACACCACTCCACCACCACCACTACCACCATCACCACCATCACCAGCAGCACCACCACCATCACCTCCATCACCACCACCACCACCATAACCTCCACCCACCACCACTACCATCCACCACCTCACCTCCACCACCACCACCCCACCACACCACACCCACCACCACACCACCACCACCACCACCACCACCACCACCACCACGACTACCATCACCATCACTTAGACCACCAACACCATCACCACCAAAATCAGCACCACCACCACTGCCACCATCAACACCGCTACTACTACTTAAACCACCACTAACCACGTAAACTACAACCATAACCTCGACCATAACTACCTCAACCACGCCACCTTAAACACAAGCACCGCATAAACCATAATAAAAAAAACCTCCTTCCTAAACCCCAACATAAACTCACCACCACTACGTCAGACCCCTAACATACACCGTCCACCACTACTTAAACTAGCAACATAAACAGCCAGCAGGTGAGGCTGGAAGCTGTATCTCTCAGATACGACAATAAAAGGTTACTGGTACCTGAATGCTGGTGAAAGTTGGATATCTGTGCCCGGAGGCTGTGAGAATGTATGTGTGTGTGTGTGTGTGTGTGTGTGTGTGTGTGTGTGTGTGTGTGTGTGTGTGTGTGTGTGTGTGTGTGTGTGTGTGTGTGTGTGTGTGTGTGTGTGTGTGTGTGTGTGTGTGTGTGTGTGTGTATGTGTGTGTGTGTGTGTGTGTGGTGTGTGTGTGTGTGTGTGTGTGTGTACTCACCTAATTGTGGTTGCAGGTGTCAAGTCATAGCACTGGTCGCTACTCGGTCACTCTTCCTGCTCCATGAGCTTTATCATACCTCTTCTTAAAGCTATGTATGGATCTTGCCTCCACTGCATCACTTCCCAGACTGTTCCACTTCCTGACAATTCTGTGACTGAAGAAATACTTCCAACTGTGACCCCTTGTTGCTGTGTCCCATCTCTTTATCATGTGGGAGTTCGGACACGTGGATTGGGTAAAAATACTCACGTAGGCTGGAAGTACGTATATTGTAACTGAAGTATGTGGAAGGGCGCCACAGCCGAACCTGCCTCTCTCTGCCCCTTGGCTAGACTGACTGAGGAGTGCCCATGGGCGAGGGGGCGCTTGAAATCCTGCTAGGTCAGCAACAATATGAATACAGCCAGTGACTCAGGCAGAGACGGTTGGTAGTGAGTCATCTACTGGTACACTGGTTACTGGTAACTGGTTACTACTACTGAGATCTTGAACATCCTGTCTCTGTCTACCTTGTCGATTCCTCTCAGTATTTTGTATGTCGTTATCATATCCTCCCTATCTCTCCTGTCCTCCAGTGTCGTCAGGGCATTCCCTTAACTTCCTCGTAGGACATGTGGGGTTGGGGGGGGACGTGTCGTGTTGCATGAAATCTAAACTGTGACCGGTTGCAAGGGTCGCTTGGTGTGTTGAGCCAACCCGAGGCTAGGCCGGGCCTGGTCAGCCACTGTTCTGTTTCATGTGGCCTGAGGAGATGAATGGAGGCTAGATGCTTCGTACTTAGTGGAATAGTTAGACTGAATATATATGTAAGATGATAGTAGTACCTTTGTAGTGCTAAATGACAGTAGGATAGTTTATACACATAATAAGGTTATAAAATAATAAATAATAATAGTTAATAATGATAATAATATATTAATAATATAATAATGTTAAATAATAATCATCATTCGCTGACCTTCAAGTACATCTGGTAGTACTCTTGAAAATAGTACATCTTGGTAGTACTCTTGAAAATAGTACATCTTGGTAGTACTCTTGAAAATAGTACATCTTGGTAGTACTCTTGAAAATAGTACATCTTGGTAGTACTCTTGAAAATAGTACATTTGGTAGTACTCTTGAAAATGTACATTTGGTAGTACTCTTGAAATAGTACATCTGGTAGTACCCTTGAAAATAGTACATCTTGATAGTACTCTTGAAATTTGTACATTATGGTAGTACTCTTGAAAATCAGTACATTTGGTAGTACTCTTGAAAATAGTAAAATTTGGTAGTACTCTTGAAAACAGTACATTATAGTAGTACTCTTGAAAATAGTACATTATGGTAGTACTCTTGAAAATAGTACATTATGGTAGTACTCTTGAAAATAGTACATCTTGGTAGTACTCTTGAAAATAGTACATCTTGGTAGTACTCTTGAAAATAGTACATCTTGGTAGTACCCTTGAAAATAGTACATCTTGATAGTACTCTGAAAATAGTACATTATGGTAGTACTCTTGAAAATAGTTAATATATGGTAGTACCCTTGAAAATAGTACATCTTGGTAGTACTCTTGAAAATAGTCATATGGTAGTACCTTGAAATAGTACATTTGGTAGTACCCTTGAAAATAGTACCATTATGGTAGTACTCTTGAAAATAGTAATTATGGTAGTACTCTGGAAATAGTACATCTTGGTAGTACCCTTGAAAATAGTACATCTTGATAGTACTCTTGAAAATAGTACATTATGGTAGTACTCTTGAAAATAGTACATCTTGGTAGTACCCTTGAAAATAGTACATTTGGTATTTACTCTTGAAAACAGTACATTATGGTAGTACTCTTGAAAATAGTACATCTTGGTAGTACCCTTGAAAATAGTACATCTTGATAGTACTCTTGAAAATAGTACATTATGGTAGTACTCTTGAAAATAGTACATTTGGTAGTCCCTCTTGAAAATAGTACTTTCTTGGTAGTACTCTGGAAAATAGTACATTATGGTAGTACTCTTGAAAACAGTACATTATGGTAGTACTCTGGAAAATAGTACATTATGGTAGTACTCTGGAAAATAGTACATCTTGGTAGTACCCTTGAAAATAGTACATCTTGATAGTACTCTTGAAAATAGTACATTATGGTAGTACTCTTGAAAATAGTACATTATGGTAGTACTCTGGAAAATAGTACATTATAGTAGTACTCTTGAAAATAGTAAATTATTATAGTACTCTGGAAAATAGTACATTATGGTAGTACTCTTGAAAATAGTACATTATGGTAGTACTCTTGAAAATAGTACATTATGGTAGTACTCTTGAAAACAGTACATTATGGTAGTACTCTTGAAAATAGTACATCTTGGTAGTACTCTTGAAAATAGTACATCTTGGTAGTACTCTTGAAAATAGTACATCTTGGTAGTACCCTTGAAAATAGTACATCTTGATAGTACTCTTGAAAATAGTACATTATGGTAGTACTCTTGAAAATAGTACATCTTGGTAGTACCCTTGAAAATAGTACATCTTGATAGTACTCTTGAAAATAGTACATTATGGTAGTACTCTTGAAAACAGTACATTATGGTAGTACTCTGGAAAATAGTACATCTTGGTAGTCCCCTTGGGAAAATAGTACATTTGGTAGTACTCTTGAAAATAGTACATTATGGTAGTACTCTTGAAAATAGTACATTATGGTAGTACTCTGGAAAATAGTACATTATGGTAGTACTTTTGGGAAAATAGTACATTATAGTAGTACTCTTGAAAATAGTACATTATGGTAGTACTCTGGAAAATAGTACATTATGGTAGTACTCTGGAAAATAGTACATTATGGTAGTACTCTGAAAATAGTACATTATGATAGTACTCTGGAAAATAGTACATTATGGTAGTACTCTTGAAAATAGTACATTATGGTAGTACTCTTGAAAATAGTACATTATGGTAGTACTCTTGAAAATAGTACATCTTGGTAGTACTTGAAAATAGTAAAATCTTGGTAGTACTCTTGAAAATAGTACATTTGGTAGTACTCTGGAAAATAGTACATCTTGGTAGTACTCTTGAAAATAGTACATCTGATAGTACTTTAAATGTACATTATGGTAAGTACTCTGGAAAATAGTACATGTATAGGTAGTACTCTGGAAAATAGTACATTATGGTAGTACTCTGGAAAATAGTACATTATGGTAGTACTCTGGAAAAATAGTACATTATGGTAGTACTCTGGAAAATAGTACATTATGGTAGTACTCTGGAAAATAGTACATTATGGTAGTACTCTGGAAAATAGTACATTATGGTAGTACTCTGGAAAATAGTACATTATGGTAGTACTCTGGAAAAATAAACATTATGGTAAGTACTCTGGAAAATAGTACATTATGGTAGTACTCTGGAAAATAGTACATTATGGTAGTACTCTGGAAAATAGTACATTATGGTAGTACTCTGGAAAATAGTACATTATGGTAGTACTCTTGAAAATAGTACATTATGGTAGTACTCTGGAAAATAGTACATTATGGTAGTACTCTGGAAAATAGTACATTATGGTAGTACTCTGGAAATAGTACATTATGGTAGTACTCTGGAAAAATAGTACATTATGTAGTACTCTGGAAAAAATAGTACATTATGTAGTACTCTGGAAAATAGTACATTATGGTAGTACTCTGGAAAAAATAGTACATTATGGTAGTACTCTGGAAAATAGTACATTATGGTAGTACTCTGGAAAATAGTACATTATGGTAGTACTCTGGAAAAATAGTACATTATGGTAGTACTTTTTGGAAAATAGTACTTATGGTAGTACTCTGGAAAATAGTACATTATGGTAGTACTCTGGAAAATAGTACATTATGGTAGTACTCTGGAAAATAGTACATTATGGTAGTACTCTGAAATGTAATTATGGTGTACTGGAAAATAGTACATTATGGTAGTACTCTGGAAAATAGTACATTATGGTAGTACTCTGGAAAAATAGGTAAAAAAACATTATGGTAGTACTCTGAAAATAACATTATGGTAGTACTCTGGAAAATAGTACATTATGGTAGTACTCTGGAAAATAGTACATTATGGTAGTACTCTGGAAATAGTAATTATGGTAGTACATCGAAATAAATTCATATACAAATCAGATTTTAGATAATTTATTGATTCTAAACAAGCAGTAAAGAATTTTTTATTTGCTATCTCAGATACCTCACCTGTCGAGGTTATACACACTCGTAGGAGTGTATTTCTCAGTGTATATAGTTGGGAAGGTGTGTATCCCCGTTGTATCTACAGTGAGAGGTGTGTATTTCTTAGTATATATACTTGGGAAGGTGTGTATCCCCGTTGTATCTACAGTGAGAGGTGTATATTTCTCAGTATATATACTTGGGAAGGTGTGTATCCCCGTTGTATCTACAGTGAGAGGTGTATATTTCTCAGTATATATACTTGGGAAGGTGTGTATCCCCGTTGTATCTACAGTGAGAGGTGTATATTTCTTAGTATATATATTTGGGAAGGTGTGTATCCCCGTTGTATCTACAGTGAGAGGTGTATATTTCTCAGTATATATACTTGGGAAGGTGTGTATCCCCGTTGTATCCACAGTGAGAGGTGTATATTTCTCAGTATATATACTTGGGAAGGTGTGTATCCCCGTTGTATCCACAGTGAGAGGTGTGTATTTCTTAGTATATATACTTGGGAAGGTGTGTATCCCCGTTGTATCTACAGTGAGAGGTGTAATTCTCAGTATATTAACTTGGGAAGGTGTGTATCCCCGTTGTATCCACAGTGAGAGGAGTGTATATCTCAACGTATATTCTCTGAGAGGTATGTATCTCTCAGTGCATATACACCAAGAGCTGTGAATCTATCAGAGTGAATATAAAATTTTTATGAAGTCGTAATGACATGATCGCAAGCAAACTACGGTACGGGTGGGGTTAGAACCCGTGGGAAGTGTCAGTCGTAATGGCAGTGACTGGCTCTATAACTAAGAGATGCTGTGACCGCTGGTCCAGTGACTGATCGTGACAGCAGCGACTTCTGACTTCTTGCTGCACTCCACTGATGTGTGCTGTTGTCTCCACCTAATCGCCTCCATACGTCTGACCAAGGTCCTGGAGCTCTCTTGCATTATGTGACTGATGTCGGTGGGGGTGGGGGGGGGTGTATGTACATACTCTGCATCCCTTGTACATATATACTATCGCCCAGCTGGGGTGAGTCAGCAGTCACAGCTACCGTGGTCCAGCAATGTATCAGTGGTTAGATTTTGTCGCCTAAGTGGCTAGTATATTGTGCATCTCGCAACCAGCCTGTGGACGGTAGTGCAATAACATATGATATATACCAAACAACTAATAACTAGGCTGCAAAAGGCTTAACGGTGGTACATGTAGATGCATATCTACAGTTCTCTTATCTGTTGCAAGCAAATTTTATATATATATATATTATATATATATATATATATATATATATATTATATATATATATATATATATTATAACTATATATATATATATATTTATATACATATTATTATATATATATTATTATATATATATATATTATTTTTTTATTTTATTTTATTTATTTTATTTATTATATATTTATTATATTTATAACAACAAGTCGGCCGTCTCCCACCGAGAGCTAAGTGCGAGGAATATATGTTCTCTGGTTTTCCTGGAGAGGCTGTAAATATATTATATTTATATATATATATATATATATATATATATTATATATATATATATATATATATATATTATATATATATATATGTTTATTATATATATATAGTTATATATATTTGTGTGTGTGTGTGTATTATAATAAATACAGGCGAGCGCTAAGTGCGAGGAATATATGTTCTCTAGTTTTCCTGGAGAGGCAGTGAGTAGTTCCCTGGATCACGCACGGCAGTACTATACGCGTCTCTCTGGCCTCAACGTACATGTCAACACTCCTAGAAGAGCGTTTGGAAGTTTAACCGAGATCTGTGAGTGATATTCAACAGATAGATGCAAAATGTTGAAAGTGGTAAATACATAAGAAAGCAGGAACACTTTAGCATGCCTCCTGGCCCATGCTTGACAGGTCACTGTCAATAAGAGAGTAACATTAGCGCATCTATTGACGTGTGGTTTAAACAAGACGCTTGAAGAAAGTAAATATTATCTCGCCTGTTAGCATTTACATTTCTTCTTACTCAATCTGGCGTAGTTGTGTACTGGCCTAGATCCATAGGAAAGAAGCATCAAAATACTCCATAGCTCAAACTGGCAGCGTGTTACGGTACGAGGGATGCCGCTCGGGTGGCCACGTCTGCACTACGAGCTGAAGCCTAGACTAACGATGAATAAAACATTCGCACTGAAATGACACTTGTGTCATTTCAGTGGATTTTCCTGATCTCCAGCAAAGTTGCTGGAGATCAGGAAAATCAACAAAATTATTGTTATAATGGGCTTTAATATGAGGTATTTTGCTGCTCCCGTAATGATAATAATAATAATAATAATAATAAATAATAATAATAATATAATAATAATAATAATAAATAATAATAATAATAAATAATAACGTATTGTTGCTGCTCAGTAAATATAATTATTATTATTATTATTATTATTATTATTATTATTATTATTATTATTATTATTATTATTATTATTATTTATATTATTATTATTTACACGCACCGAACGAGATCAAATAATATATTGCCATTCTGGTAAGATAAAAGCAAGGGAAGGAGTATATTAATGCATTGCTCTTCACATTCCAGATCTGTTGTCTGGAAGCCTGGAGTTGGAGCAAGGTAGTCGTGGAAACACGAGCTGCCACTCACTGATATCTATATACCTCAGGAGTACAGTTGTGGTCATGAAGAAGCGAAAAGCACTGCTGAAGACCGTGTTATGTGTTAGCGTAGGACTGCTGTTGGTGATCAGTAGTGAAGTAACACGTAACACTGTGACATGGTTAAGGTCAGCAGCTGAATTCGTCAATATTAATTTCCACGACTCGAGGTTTCAGAAAAGCGACTCAGGATGGACTGAGGGTGGGCGTGGGAGGTGGGCGGGCAGGGTGGGTGGGCGTGAATCGTGGGAGCCTCATCTGTGTCCTCACTACAAGGTGAAGGAAGAGCCAGAGTCTCAGGTGAAGCTCACCTGGGCTCCACCTACGGCAGACACCATCTTCTTCGCACAGACTTCCTGCAGCACCTTCCTCACAGCCAGAGAGGTACGGGGTCCTCCAATCTCATTAAATATTATCCCACAGGTCATGTGTGGTCCTCCAGTAGTAAGTGTATGAAACGCTGGAGGCTCGATTCTCCGTAAGGGACTTGACCCTCTGACCTCCCAGACGAGACTGGAGAGTGCAACGAGCCGGCTGTGGTGGGGGGTCTGTCCCCATGAGGTTATTCACCCTCAGTAAACATTATCTAACAGATTTTTTTTGTCTTGTTTGTGAGATTGAGACTGTCTTGATGTGTTCTCTTTAATCATTCTTTCAACGAAGTTGCCTTGATGTAAGTGAAGAACTCCGAGGAATTTAAACTCTCCTCCTCTTCCTTGAGTCAAATCTGGTACCAATCATCCCATGGGAGCTCTTTGAAAAGGGTTTAGAGTTTCCACTTGTGTACAATCATTGTCTCGTCATTGTCTTCGAAGACGTAAAAATTCCCTGAGGATCTACGTCTATGATTAAATTAACATTATAGATTAAAACGCAAAATTTTGTGCAGCACTTTCTCATACTTAAATATTTCGTTGTCACCTCGAAATTTGTCATCTAAGAAGATTTAAGTAGCATAATTTAACAGTTTTTTAACCAAATATTGGCAAAAAAAGCATCTAATAACACAAAATATTTGAATATTTTGTATGATTAGACCCTTACATCTTTTGTAGTTTTTAATATATTACACCAGTGCCGTGTGCATTACACGTGTCACTGAAAATATACACGTGAGGCAGAGCAGGTAAATACCAGAAGAGAACCATGAGTCCAAAGTCAACATGATCACTGGTTTACCGCGTTACATTAATTAAACCGGGTTGCAGGACTTACATATAGTTCTGTGCACTTCAACCGAATCTTTCTAAATGAGCATCTCCCACCACAGTCTTTTGTGCTTTTTAAGTCACACATAATCAATTCATTGCATGTTTCTGATGTCATAGTGAACCTGGATCACACGGGGAGCCAAAATTTGCTGCCCTTCTTTAGAATCCAGAATCATTCCTTAGGAGATGGAGTCTCCTGCAGAGTCACATCACTCGTAGTCCAGATCCCGGTCTAATGTGCTCAAAATTTGCCTCTGCGTAGGTGTAATATGTTTAATGGATTGGCTTATTGGGCAGATAATCTCTCCCCGCGCCTCGTTGTCATAGTCCTGATTGCTGGCATAGAGGACGACTGTATAGAGTAATAATTAACAACCTGGTCATGATGTTCTTATCCGTCTTAAGAGTTGCGATTTTATCGACTTATATGCTCCGGATCTCGGATGCTGTAGATCTGAACAATCACCAGGAGTTTTCTTGATTTTCTCAAGGATACAGGAAGCGCGTTCTACCAGCACTGCCTTACGAGAACTGTTGTACTGCTCCTTTCTCAGGGCTTCTGCTGTGTTGACTACATTAACCATAGAGTAATCCAGTATATTGCACATGTCCAAGATTAACAGCTCTTCAGTATCATCAAAAGACGGATTGTCAAAGATAATGATGATCTTAACCAGACTCAGAGCCTGTTGACTTACAGTCAACAGGCTCTGACATGAGAGACATGACTTCGTGGTGGTAGTGATGAGATTCATCTTGCTTAGTAGAGTATGTTCTCTCAAACTTACCAGTTGGTCTTGCTCATGGCCGGTTATCATTCCTTTCGTGAAGGAAGATGGATTCTCTGTGAGTCCAGCAGCACCTCTCAAACCCTTGACCACGTCTTTGTTTTACCCATGGACCAGATCTGTTGACATCGCTGAAAACTTATAATCTATTATCCCAGTTGTTTTGACCTAGGTTCTTTTTCCAATGTCATGCACATTAAGTGTATTTCATCTCGAACTTTTTGGGTGAAAAGTATGCACATATACTTTTTGATCATTAGAATATCTCAAAACTACCTAAGTCACTGGTTTCCAACATACACTTCATGTACAGTACTGGCTAAAATTAATGTGAAGAAAAAAACAGTGCTATTATCCAGTCTGTCTCCATGTTTCGAAAATTAAATGGCCCTAAGTAGCTTGACTATTTATATCAGTGACAGCCGGCTAAGAGCATTTCTGTGCAGGGAAATGTATGGGACAAATGTGAACTCTTTGTGGACACCAAAATACTTGTAGAAAAATCTTCTAATACATAATTACAAGATGTATATAGTTGTGTACACGACAGTGTATTAGCTACTTTAATGTACACAGAAAATATAATGACCCATAAACAAAGAGACTCTTTGGAATGTGTATAGTTGGATATGTGACAGTCTGGAAGACACCGTAAATGACTATGTATCTTCACGCCCATCCAGGCTTGTGCTGTGGAGAGCGCCGCCCACCACCACCCACAACTCCCAGTCCTTGTTCTTATGAGCGCCTGTGTCATCGACCACGCCCACCCACTCATGCAGGTAAGACAACACTCACTCAAGTGAGGTCACGATGACTCCTTAACCTGATTTCTTGATATTCATCATAATCATCTCTCACTGATAAATTAAACAATTTTCTTAGTTATGAGGAAATAAGAGAGACTAACTTCGCCTTATAGTGATGGTAATCAACTTAACAGGTGTTGACAGGTATGAGCAACGTGAGACTGGCTTGGCTGGACTGGATCAGGTGTTTACTGAGGAACCTCTGAGGACCTGGCATCATGACCGTCTGTGGGTGATGAGTGAGGGTGAGTAGAGAGAGAGAGAGAGAGAGAGAGATGAGAGAGAGAGAGAGAGAGAGGAGAGAGAGAGAGAGAGAGAGAGAGAGAGAGAGAGAGAGAGAGAGAGAGAGAGAGAGAGAAAGAGACTACATGTATGTGTTACTCGCGATTTCGTAATAACAATTATAAACAGCATACGTAGGAGGCAAATCCGAACTCATGGCAAGGCAGTTCGAAAACTAGCAGGTCAGTGTATTAACCTTTGTACAATGCTGGCCTAACTAGATGCATTTCTCTGCACACTAGGAAGGTTAGCATAAGCCCCACTGTGGCCACATATTCTGATTTTTACAGACGAATATCACATCAACATAGATGTGGTATGCTAATCGTCCTAGTGTATCCAGAAATACACAAGTTAGATGAAGCTGGTGAGGCTGGCATGGTACAGTGGTTAGCACACGGAAGTGCTTGTTATAGGACTGACTTGCCATGGGGTTCGAATCCCACCAGTTATGTAAGAGAGTGCGTTGCAGGTCGCGCGTCAGCGGTGGTGAGCGACGCAGTGCGGGTGGAGTTACTACGTAGGTACGGTGGAACCTATTTGGACCTGGACCTGATCACTCTCCGCCCGCTGCCCTCCTCCAACAACTGGCTGGCCAGGGAACACATCAACCTCCTCAACGGTGCCGTGATGAGCTTCACTCCGCAACACCAGTTTCTACAGGTGAGACCATTCTTCTAACTCAATTTTTTTTTAAGTCGTGTTGAGAAATATTTAATTCACCTAACTTTGAAGATTTATCTCAGGTCACTTGAGTATCCGTGTAATAGTGGGGTACGGATGTAGTGATGGTTGTAGGAAAATACTGTAGACCAGGGCTACTCAATGGGCGTCCGGCGGTCCGAATCCGGACCCTGTGAGTGTTGTAGTTGGACCGCCGGCTTCAGGAGAAAGTTTAGTTAAATAACAGCTGTTACCAGGTTCAGGATCAGGTGGTACACAAGAGCGAGATTAATACATTATTCTTTCTGAATGGAATGCATACAATGAATGGAATACAGTATTCTAGTTAAATAGGTAATTAGTGATATTTTCTTCCATTCAGTTAGGTTAGGTTAGGTTAGGTTCGTCAGGAAACAGGACAAATGTTTCCTGACGCGGGTCTTAGTCAGATGATGACCCGCCTTTGTGCTTTTGGTATCTGCCGAGGCCTTCCACTGGTTACCGTCCAACCTTTAAAATTATGGTCATTTATACATTGTTTTTTTGTACATTCAGTTGGTATTCATATTGTTAATTTTCATTGTACAATTACGTTTGAACTTTTATGTCATTTTTTAAAAAAGAGTTTGGCCGCACATGTGCTGGGAAGTCTGGCCACTCTGGTGCAACTTTGAATTTCGTGAGAGGTTGTGTATTTACGTGTGTGCAAGGTATCATTTCGGGTTTTCTCATTTTCTTTTTAGCAAGTTTGATTATAATTTACTGTGTCCACATCTTTTATGGTGGTGGGGTATTTAGTATTGAATCATTGTGATCAAATTCTTCACATCAATGTTTAACTGATGTGAATTTTCCTCATTCTGGTTGTTACTAAGTTATGTGGACTGGATTTAAAAATATGATTTATTTTAATAAATACAGATTAATTTCAGTAATAATACATTTCATAATACAGAGGACAACTGCTTAACTAAATTAGTCATATTTTTTTTAAAGGAGACATGACAATGGTTCCTTTAAGGAAGAATGGATACAGTAGTTATGTTTACATTCTTGCCACAAGTAGTTTTAAGACTCTCTGCCTCATATGTAGTGAAACAATTGCCTTAGTCAACACTAGTAATATGAAACACCATTTTTTTTTTTTACATAATAAAACATTATGTAAAAAGTGTATCCGGACCTTTGCATACATTGTCACTTGTCGAAGTAGACCTTTGTTCATAGTAGTTAAGTAGCCCTGGTGTAGACTGTCGTTGAGACGCTGTTACTGAAGGAAGAACTCAGCCTGTCTGCCTCCGCGAGTCTCGTCAGATAACGTGGGAGGGAGAGCGGGCGCTCTCCCCTACCACCTAGGTGGGGGAGGAGGAAGTCACGTGACGTCAGCATGACAAGGGAGTCTTTGCTATAATGGTTTTAGGGAATGTATATATTACACAAGTTTTACACTCTTAACATCTGCTTTCTTTTTCCTGAAAGTACAGCAAAATAAAACTGCAATTTTGAGTGTATGTTATTACATTTTGGAGCAAAGTATGCTCACCTAGACACCAGTGTTTATAGGTGAAGCTTAGTGATTTGGTTTTAAAACGTTTCAGCAAGTAAGAATTATATTAAGGTTAGTATCACTGTTGTTTTTACATTCCATCCACGAACTTCCATATTTCAATACCGTTTAACTTCGTCATCACTCTCATACTGATGTCACGTCACCTTCCTCAGGCTAACAGTGACCACAGTTATTATCCTGAATCTATTGTTACCTTAGTCGTTATTTCAAGATCTTCCACCTTTCTTGAAGCCTTCTTGTTACCATCATTGTTACCTTAATTCACCTATAATCTTCAGCACCTCGACACTCACCTATCTGTTACCATCATTAACACTCAGCATCTTAGTTGCTCCCTGTGCCCACATTCCTCTGACGACCTGGTCCACACGTAGTTGCATTGTCCACAGTCACCACAGTTTTGGATGATTATCTGATTATACTGAACAATTATCTGAATAAAGTTTACAGTTTTATTAGTTGTAAAAAAGGACTGGATTTCATTATGTTTTATACAATATCCTGTATATATTAGGAATTAATTATATTATTGATTGAACGTTTTATAAGCACATTACATATACGAGCATTATTATATTTTATTGCTTTGAACACATATGTAATATACTTACTGATAAATTAGACACATGTGCAACTCTTGGGTATCTTTATTGAGGAAACGTTTCGCCACACAGTGGCTTCATCAGTCCATACAAAGGAGAATCTTGAAGAACAGGAGGAGAATGAGGTAATCAGTCCCTCAACCTTGAGTCGATGTGGTCAGTCCATCAATCTTGAATAGATGAAGCCACTGTGTGGCGAAACGTTTCCTCAATAAAGATACCCAAGAGTTGCATATGTGTCTAATTTATCAACATGTCGGTTCTCTGAATCATTCATCTACAAATATATTTACTGTTGACTGTGTTTATGGTTGTGTTGGCAGATGGTTGTTGCAGACATCCCTGCTGTGTATGATCCCTTTATGTGCTGCAGCATCGGTCCTGATCTCCTAACTCAGACCCTACACCGTCTTTGTCCTCACAACGTCACCATCCCAGCCTCCGTCAGTTCTGACCAGCTGGAGATCTGTGGCGACATCACTGTGTGGCCAAATAAATTATTTTACCCGATCCCTTACGGATACAAGCAGTACCAGTTAGAGAGCATCTTCACCGAAGGTGCAGGACTAGGTCAAACTTTCTTTAACAGTACCATGGCCATTTGCCTGCATCTCTGTCACTCTATTACCCACAAGTCAGCAAATGTTAGCCTTGCTGGTGACTCCATTTTAAAGGAAGCCGCTGTCAGGAATTGTCCTCGTGTAGTGAAGGCTCTCAAAAAACTTAATTTACATCTGTAGTGAATGGCATCGGTGATCCTTTACGATTAGTAGTGTAAGGGAATATATTAATATATATATATATATATATATAATATATATATATATATATATATATATATATATATATATATATATTATATATTATATATATATATATATATATATATATATTTATATATTTTATATATATATTATATATATTTATATATATATTATATATAAAGGCACAATACCGTGACTAGAACAATACACAAATAACCCGGACATAGGAGAGAAGCTTACGACGACGTTTCGGTCCGACTTGAACCATTTACAAAGTCACAGGTTATTAGCTTCTTTCTTTCTCCTATGTGCAGGTTATCTGTGTATAGAAATATTTTTATATGGCAGCCCAGTACAACAAACGGAACATGTATATGGAGCAACGTGGCAAGTCAGAACTTACGGGGAGGTAACTTTTCAGCGCTACATTTCGTCACACACTTCATTCGACCATCAACACTCTCAAAACTTGGTCAAACTGCAACAGATTAAGTAATTTCAGCACATGCAACATTCCACGTAATCTCTGCAGAATATTAGATAAGAACAATAAAAACAGCAACATCATTATCTTTACATCTATCAAAGAGTTCAGTAGCCCAAAAATAAACACCAAAATGAAGAGAAAGATGGAATTTTCTCCATTCAGTATTATAGCTACCATAACATTTACCTGGGAGAAACATCACTGGACAAGGAAACACAAGTCAGGGAACACAACTACACACGTAAGAACATAGAACAATGTTACTGTGTTGCTGATCGTGTCATCTGCAACTATCTCATAAACTTGACACAAGCTAAAATATATCAACAATGAATGCGCCAAAAATTGCCTGGAATCCTCTGGAATCAGCGTTTTTAACACATTAACCTAATATCAAGGTAACTTCCAAATAGCTAAATCCTAAACACATCACCTTTGCAAACATTGTTAGGACGCAGACACATGACAATTTTCCGGTCACCTGTATCTCACTTTCTTGTATTTATCTCTGGTATACGAACTATTTTACATTTGTAATAATGTTGGTAGAATTACCGACAATATTTTAGGCAAAAGGACACAATTGCAACTAATGCGACATTTTATTGTGGGAACGTTTCGCTCTCCAACAGCCTGTCAAGTTGTTGCAAATAATACAGGGACACAGAGGGGTATATATAGGTACAGAGTGATATACAAAGCATAATATAATCGTTGTAGGAAGTAGTAGTAGTTGTTGTTATAGTACTTGTGGTAATAGTAGTGTTAGCAGTTGTATTACTACTAGTAGTAGTAATAGTATGATGGTGGGGTTTACTGTTTGAGGAGAATTCTTACTAATACTTCAGAGATGATGAACCTGTAGAAATACCGATTAATGATGATTCAAGTCTTTTACGTTTACGGAAACTAGGTTCTTTAATCACTAGGCGAGAGTCGTTGAATTTCATCAGGTGGTTGGTGGAATTCCGGTGTTGTATACGTTCATGTTCGTGTAGGTTTGCCAGGACGGGTCTTAGGCATCAATAATATCAAACATGAAAACTCTGTAAGTTACATTTGCTCTTTGACTTATTAACTCTGAGGGGACTGATAACCCATGAAAGCCAAATCACTGTTGCATATATCTAAGAGTCCTCTTCAGGTCTACTGCACCCAAGATGCAACCCACACCAGTCGACTATCGCATGGGTACCTGTTTACTCTTAAGTAACAGCAGATGTGAGACTTCAACCCGGGTCCGGGATGTGGGCACCACATCTACAACCTGAGCTACGAGTTACATACATAAAATTCCACCAACGTGTATAATAAAGCAATTAAATGTTTAGTGAAACAGTTGTACAAATATGTTAAGCTCTCTTCACAACCATGTGTCGTTATGCTTATAATAACCTTGTACAATACCGAAAAATAGAGGAGCAAGACGCATTGACAACAGTTGAACACCAGAGTCAGGGACTGACCACCTTCAACCTCTTTTTTCCAGGTTGATGGACTGATTACATCATCTCTCCTCACTGGCTCTGTTATCTCCTCTGTATTCGACTGAAGAAGCTTACTGTGTAGGCGAAACTCTTCAGAAATAAAAAATATCCAACTGTTGCAAATGTGTCTTACTCAACCATATGTAGTTATCTTTAATAAAAATAAAGTCTATTAAAGTTTTGTATATTTGTAGATATAGATAGTAAAGAAAACTAAGAAACTCTCTCTCTCTCTCTCTCTCTCTACACACACACACCTTTATATATATATATATATATATATATATATATATATATATAAAATATATATATATATATATATATATATATATATATATATATATATATATATATATATATATATATATATATATATATATATATATATATATATATATATATAATATATATATATATATATATATATATATATATATATACACCCTACATCCGAGATCTTGTTCTTCTGAAGAGGACCTCAGAGGACAATAGTTTGAATTTCCGCTCTATTTGTCATTCCATTTTTTGTCTCCACTCGGGTTCTCGTTTCCACTGAATAGTTAAGTACACTGAGTTACAAGCCTATCGACTACATGTGGTCACTAAGGTTGAACGTAGCCCTATCACTGCCAGTCAAGAATACTTTAATATTATGTTCATGTTTAACACTAAACCCATGTGGGTCATTCAGACCAATACGTTGTGGAGGCTCGATCCTCCGTTCGCTGAGCGCCAGACAGACGCGCTTCCTGTTTGTGCTCAGATGCTCTTTAATCTCTCTAATAGCGATTATAGTAAACTCTGAGCATATGTAAACTTCTCGGTGTATTTGACCTTATTTGAAAAGTTTCTTAGTTGGGTTTGTAGTAGTAGTACTACTACTACTAGTAGTAGTAGTAGCAACACTAGTACTAGTAGCAGTAGTAGTAGTAGTACTAGTAATAGTACTAGTAGTAGTAGCAGTAGCAATACTAGTAGTAGTAGTACTAGTAGCAGTAGTAGTAGTAGGAGTAGTAGCAGCACTGACTCATTTGACCATAAACAGAAATACTAATCTCAATCTTAAAATAATGAATCCTGTGATACTCCAATACTGAAACTATGTACTGTGCCAAAACAAAAGCATTCACATTGCTAAACTCACAAACTAGTATTTAGTCACTTAGCCATAATACCAACTTACCTCATAATTTGTAATATTTTACAATTAAGAATTAAACTAAGTCTGCCCGAAATGCCTAGCCATGCTAAGCGTTCTAGTGGTACACTCTGTAATCACTATTTTACTACATGTAAACCACGCAATAACCAAATTTCTGTAAACTCAGCATTGTAATCCTTATAGAGAATAAACTTTGAATTTGAATTTGAATAGTAGTAGTAGTCTTCATTTTCTTCTTCGTCTTTTTCTTCTACAGTTAACCATGAAAATATTAATACTATATTTCACCCATGACAGAAAACAACAGTCAGCTCTTACAGGGGAGACAAAGCTTATTTTACACTCTCCACTACAAGCGTAAGAACTTAAAACTGGAGGAGGCTAAATGTATTGCACACTGGCAGGCTGGTATCTCTTTCACGACTGAGAAAGTAAATCAATCTTCTTAACATCTACTTACATACAGTAAAGACTTACTTCTCATTTTTTTTTTTTGGGGGGGGGGGGGGAATTTTAATCCTTTATGAAGGTTTTATTTACACGGGATATATACACCAAGAAGTGTATTTCTTTCAGTGTATATCTGCCGAGAGTTTATTTTAAAATATTCTTGACTGGTAGTGACAAGGTTACGTGCAGCCTTAATAACCCTCGTGTAGTCGAAAGGCTTTAACCCCCTTAACTAGTCAGTCAACTTTATTCGGATTATTAATCCCTAAGGGATAACAGCCCAGGATAACCCAGTAATGCCAGTCAGCATGGCTTATTGCCCCTTCAGAAGATTCTAGGTCTTTTTAACAGGGTGCCATCCACAACAGCTGACTAACTCGGAGGTATCTGTTAACCGCTGGGTAACAGGAGCAGCAGGTGTTAGAAGGCATCCAGAAGTCCCGCCTCGTGTGGAGTTCGACTCCACGTTCCTCGGTAGCGAGCCGAGAGCATCAACCACGACGCTGCTGGGTACCCTTAATTCCTTTAGTTTCCCCTGTGAACGTGGGTTCGAGTTCTCCCATTATTGCTTTGCATGCTAAGTTTATTTAGGTACAGGTATATATAAATACAACCACACAACACATAGTAACATATTTGTAAATTACCTAGGATAACCCTGGACTCATTATTGATACGAAACGCTAAACCCGTTTCATGTAACAAGTAGAAGAAAAAAATATAATCAACGCGTGATTGCAAATATATATAAGATACCAGTGTTACAATAGGAACAAACACCTGAGCGTATTCATATGCTTACACACATGTGTGAAGATATGTGTAAGCACATAAAAGCGCTCAGGCTAGGTTAGGTAAGGTTCGTCAGGAAACAGGATAAGTGTTTCCTGACGCGGGTCTTAGATGATGACCCGCCGTTGGAGCTTCTGATCATCTGACCGAGGCCTTCCACTGGCTTACCGGTCCATAGTTATAACTATTTTTATTTTTAGTGCTCAGGTATTTTTCCTATTTTCACTGTGGTATTTTTATACAGCTCGATTTCCTGTCCACTCCATTGGAACAAGAGATCAGTTACTGTTTTTTCCTGGATGTAATTACTGCCGAGATGAAATTATTTTTAAAGCAGATTAGTAAGTTTATTCAGATACACATACACAAATACAGTTACTTAGGTTAAATATGATAAATAGCAACAATACCACCAGTCCGATGACATTCTTCTTGGCAAATATACAGGGTCTAAAGCCAGCAACAAACAACAAAATACCTTTCATCCGTGGACTGCTTGCAGAGGCAAAGGCAATGTTCGCGGCTTTCACTGAGACCCACATAAAGGATCACTTGGACAACGAAATATGGATCCCAGGTTACAACCTATACAGATGTGACAGAGTGAACAGGCAAAAGGAGGGGGGGGGGGGTTGGCCTGTACATTGCAGAGTCACTTGTTTGCACAGAACTGCTTAATGCCTCAAATGATGTAGTGGAAGTTTTAGCAGTAAAGGTCGAGAACCAAAACCTAGTCATTGTGGTAGTCTACAAGCCTCCGGATGCAACATCCCAGCAATTCCAGGAACAGCTGTTAAAAATTGACCACTGTCTGGAAAATCTTCTAGCTCCTGCACCCAACATCTTGCTCCTGGGGGATTTCAACTTAAGGCACCTAAAATGGAGGAATATAGCAAATAATACTGTTGCAGTAATAACACCAGGAGGCAGCTCTGATGAAAACTCACACTCACACGAGTTTTTAAATCTCTGCACAAAATTAAATTTAAACCAGCAAATAATAGAGCCTACTAGACTGGAGAATACACTAGACCTCATCTTCACTAACAATGATGATCTGATAAGAAATGTCACCATATCAAAAACAATATACTCAGATCACAACATAACTGAGGTTCAGACATGTATGCGTGGAGCCCCAGACCGACATAATGAGATTAGTCACGAGGGAGCATTCACCAAATTCAACTTCAATAACAAAAACATAAAGTGGGACCAAGTAAACCAAGTTCTAACCGATATAAGCTGGGAAGATATACTAAGCAACACAGACCCTAACTTATGCCTAGAACAGATTAACTTGGTGGCACTCGATGTATGCACAAGGCTTATTCCTCTAAGAAAAAGGAGGAGTAGATGTAAAATAGAAAGAGACAGGCGCTCCCTTTACAGGCGACGGAAAGGAATAACAGAGCGGCTAAAAGAGGTCAATATATCTGCAATGCGTAGGGAGACACTGGTCAGAGAAATAGCAAGCATCGAACTTAAGCTAAGGGAATCTTATAGGAGTCAGGAATCGTGAGAAGAACTAAAAGCCATAAATGAAATCGAAAGAAACCCAAAGTATTTCTTCTCCTATGCCAAATCAAAGTCGAGAACAACGTCCAGTATTGGGCCCCTACTTAAACAAGATGGGTCCTACACAGATGACAGCAAGGAAATGAGTGAGCTACTCAAGTCCCAATATGACTCAGTTTTTAGCAAGCCGCTAACGAGACTGAGAGTCGAAGATCAAAATAAATTTTTTATGAGAGAGCCACAGAATTTGGTTAACACAAGCCTATCCGATGTTATCCTGACGCCAAATGACTTCGAACAGGCGATAAATGACATGCCCATGCACTCTGCCCCAGTGCCAGACTCATGGAACTCCGTGTTCATCAAGAACTGCAAGAAGCCCCTATCACGAGCCTTTTCCATCCTATGGAGAGGAAGCATGGACACGGGGGTCGTCCCACAGTTACTAAAAACAACAGACATAGCCCACTCCACAAAGGGGGCAGTAAAGCAACAGCAAAGAACTACAGACCGATAGCACTAACATCCCATATCATAAAAATCTTTGAAAGGGTCCTAAGAAGCAAGATCACCACCCATCTAGAAACCCATCAGTTACACAACCCAGGGCAACATGGGTTTAGAACAGGTCGCTCCTGTCTGTCTCAACTATTGGATCACTATGACAAGGTCCTAGATGCACTAGAAGACAAAAAGAATGCACATGTAATATATACAGACTTTGCAAAAGCCTTCGACAAGTGTGACCATGGCGTAATAGCGCACAAAATGCGTGCTAAAGGAATAACAGGAAAAATCGGTCGATGGATCTATAATTTCCTCACTAACAGAACACAGAGAGTAGTCGTCAACAGAGTAAAGTCCGAGGCAGCTACGGTGAAAAGCTCTGTTCCACAAGGCACAGTACTCGCTCCCATCTTGTTCCTCATCCTCATATCCGACATAGACAAGGATGTCAGCCACAGCACCGTGTCTTCCTTTGCAGATGACACCCGAATTTGCATGACAGTGTTTTCCATTGCAGACACTGCAAGGCTCCAGGCGGACATCAACCAAATCTTTCAGTGGGCTGCAGAAAACAATATGAAGTTCAACGATGAGAAATTTCAATTACTCAGATATGGTAAACACGAGGGAATTAAATCTTCATCAGAGTACAAAACAAATTCTGGCCACAAAATAGAGCGAAACACCAACGTCAAAGACCTGGGAGTGATCATGTCGGAGGATCTCACCTTCAAGGACCATAACATTGTATCAATCGCATCTGCTAGAAAAATGACAGGATGGATAATGAGAACCTTCAAAACTAGGGAGGCCAAGCCCATGATGACTCTTCAGGTCACTTGTTCTATCTAGGCTGGAATATTGCTGCACACTAACAGCACATTTCAAGGCAGGTGAAATTGCTGACCTAGAAAATGTACAGAGAACCTTCACGGCGCGCATAACGGAGATAAAACACCTCAATTACTGGGAGCGCTTGAGGTTCCTAAACCTGTATTCCCTGGAACGCAGGCGGGAGAGATACATGATTATATACCCCTGGAAAATCCTAGAGGGACTAGTACCGAACTTGCACACGAAAATCACTCACTACGAAAGCAAAAGACTTGGCAGACGATGCAGCATCCCCCCAATGAAAAGCAGGGGTGTCACTAGCACGTTAAGAGACCATACAATAAGTGTCAGGGGCCCGAGACTGTTCAACTGCCTCCCAGCATACATAAGGGGGATTACCAACAGACCCCTGGCAGTCTTCAAGCTGGCACTGGACAAGCACCTAAAGTCGGTTCCTGACCAGCCGGGCTGTGGCTCGTACGTTGGTTTGCGCGCAGCCAGCAGTAACAGCCTGGTTGATCAGGCTCTGATCCACCAGGAGGCCTGGTCACAGACCGGGCCGCGGGGGCGTTGACCCCCGGAACTCTCTCCAGGTAAACTCCAGGTAATATGTGAAGATTACCTCAGTTAACCCAAGAAGTCAGGCAAATTGACTAATTTCTATCGGGGTCCTTGACTTATTTCCACTGGGGTCCTTGACTTATTTCCACTGGGGTCCTTGACTTATTTCCACTGGGGTCCTTGACTTATTTCCACTGGGGTCCTTGACTTATTTCCACTGGGGTCCTTGACTTATTTCCACTGGGGTCCTTGACTTCTTTCCACTGGGGTCCTTGACTTATTTCCACTGGGGTCCTTGACTTATTTTCACTGGGGTCCTTGACTTATTTCCACTGGGGTCCTTGACTTATTTCCACTGGGTCCTTGACTTATTTCCACTGGGGTCCTTGACTTATTTCCACTGGGGTCCTTGACTTATTTCCACTGGGGTCCTTGACTTATTTCCACTGGGGTCCTTGACTTATTTCCACTGGGGTCCTTGACTTATTTTCACTGGGGTCTTGACTTATTTCCACTGGGGTCCTTGACTTATTTCCACTGGGGTCCTTGACTTATTTCCACTGGGGTCCTTGACTTATTTCCACTGGGGTCCTTGACTTATTTCCACTGGGGTCCTTGACTTATTTCCACTGGGGTCCTTGACTTATTTCCACTGGGGTCCTTGACTTATTTCCACTGGGGTCCTTGACTTATTTTCACTGGGGTCCTTGACTTATTTCCACTGGGGTCCTTGACTTATTTCCACTGGGGTCCTTGACTTATTTCCACTGGGGTCCTTGACTTATTTCCACTGGGGTCCTTGACTTATTTCCACTGGGGTCCTTGACTTATTTTCACTGGGGTCTTGACTTATTTCCACTGGGGTCCTTGACTTATTTCCACTGGGGTCCTTCACTTATTTCCACTGGGGTCCTTGACTTATTGCCACTGGGGTCCTTGACTTATTTCCACTGGGGTCCTTGACTTATTTCCACTGGGGTCCTTGACTTATTTCCACTGGGGTCCTTGACTTATTTTCACTGGGGTCCTTGACTTATTTCCACTGGGGTCCTTGACTTATTTCCACTGGGGTCCTTGACTTATTTCTACTGGGGTCCTTGACTTATTTCCACTGGGGTCCTTGACTTATTTCCACTGGGGTCCTTGAGTTATTTCCACTGGGGTCCTTGACTTATTTCCACTGGGGTCCGTGACTTATTTCCACTGGGGTCCTTGATAGTATGAATGAGTGTTGATGACAACGATGCTTCTGTCACATCTTCATGGTCTGACAGAGTAGAGACACACCACATTTCTCAAGACACACGAAGCACCTGCCACACACACACATAAGTACCCCATGGAAGCTTGGGATAATTTCAAAAACCAGAAAAATAACTGGGTCGGGGATCCGAAATCTAATAATTGCTGCTTACTTTGACACTTAGCTCGGTTGGTAGCGCACTCGGTTCATACACTGAGGTCCGTTGTTAGATCCCTGTTACGGGTGGAAACATAAGGACGTGTTCCTGTAAGATACCTGCTGACCATGTTCATCTAGCAGTAACTGGGTATCTTTGTAGACGTTTCGCTATCTAGTGGCTTTATCAAAATAAATTCAAGGACATAATTGGATGACTGTAGAACTATATATAAAAGACTACGGTGCTCTTCACCAACTCCAAGACTGAGGGACAGATTACCTCGTCTTTTGTACATAGTTCTACAGTCTTCCAGTTATGCTCTTGAATCTTTATTGATAAAGCCACTGGATGGCGATACTTCTACAAATAAAGATACCCAGATGTTGCACATGTATGTGTCTTATTCTACATCTTGTCGGTACTGTATACAATACATGTACACTTCAGTGTCCTGCCTATGGCCCGGCATCGCTGAATATGTCACCCACTTCAGTTTTCTCTTTTTTTCAGCCTGATCAATAAATTAATAATTCATGTTAAGTGCTCAAGACATAGTGGATGGAGGCTTGATCCTCCGTCTGCTGAGCGCGAGACAGACGTACTTCCTATCTGTACTCACCTAGTTGACGCTGAGTTGACTAGTGAACTAACACCCACTTGATACTAGGCTACTACAGATGCATCTTATGTCTTTTAAGAACTTCCACCACTTGAGGGCAATTCCTGACGGCAGCTTCCTTCATTATGGAGTCTCCAGCAACGCTAACAGTCAGTTTGTGCGTGAAAGAGTGGCAAAGGTGAAGGCAAATGGCCACGGTACTAGTGAAGAAAGTTTGACCCAGACCTGCACCTTCAGTGAAGATGCTCACCAACTGAAACTGCTTGTATCCGTAAGGGATGGGATAAAATAACTTATTGGGCCAGACAGTGATGTCGCCACAGATCTCCAGCTGGTCGGAACTAACGGAGGCTGGGATGGTGATGTTGTTAGGACACAGTCGGTGAAGTTGTGAAGTTAACAGCACAGGACCGATGCTGCAGCACATGTGAGGATCATAGGCAGCGGGTATGGCTGTAACAATCGCCTGCCAAGCAGAATCAGCAGTAAGTATAACAAACATGAGTTCAAAATTGCTGAACGCAAGAAGTTTCAGTAATATGTATATATAGCAAACAACATACATAAAGCCATGTAGTCAACCTCACAGGTTGACACTATGTATGAACCAGGCCAATATAATAATAATTAATAATAATAATAATAATAATAATAATAATAATAATAATAATAATAATAATATAATAATAATAATAATATTTGACTAGGTCAATATTGGTAGCAGCAATGTGAGGGTATTAATGCTAGTGAAGAGCTCTGTCTCGGATCATCAGTCTTGACTTCCTCCAATTTTCCCTAGCGCTGTGTGACTGTTATACGTTTGCGCTTCCCCTTTATTAAAATATAGTACACAAGAGTTACCTGCAGTAACTGGTGTGCTGGAGCGAAGCTCATAATGGCATTGTTGACCTGACTACTTTGTTCCCTGGCCAGCCAGTTGTTGGAGGAGGGCAGCGGGCGGAGGGTGATCAGGTCCAGGTCCAGATAGGTTCCACCGTACCTACGTAGCAACTCCACCCGCACTGCGTCGCTCACCGCAGATGCAGCGCGACCTGCGACAGTTTTTGTATGTGTGTGTGTGTGTGTGTGTGTGTGTGTGTGTGTGTGTGTGTGTGTGTGTGTGTGTGTGGTGTGTGTGTGTGTGTGTTGTGTGTGTGGTGTGTTATATATATATATATATATATATATATATATATATATATATATATATTATATATATATATATATATATATATAAATATATATATATATATATATATATATATATATATATATATATATATATATATATATATATATATATATATATATATATATATATATGTGTATATATATATATATATGTCGTGCCGAATAGGCAGAACTTGCGATCTTGGCTTAAATAGCAACGCTCATCTTGCCATATAGGACAAACGAAAATTTGTGTATGCAATAATTTCGCCAAAATCATTCTGAACCTAACGAAAAAAATATATTTCACTGTGTTTGTTTAATATTAAATTATTGTAAATAAATCTAAAATATATTTAGTTGGGTTAGGCTTAAATAAATTTTTCTTGTTATAACAAGGTTAGGTAAGTTTTCTAAGATTCTTTTGGTGCAAAATTATAAATTTTTACATCAACATTAATGAAAAAAAATATATCTTTAAACGTATAAGAGAAAATTTCAGAAAGGACTTAATTTTAAATGAGTTCTTGCTAATTGACCAGTTTTACATATTCGGCACGACATATATATATATATATATATATATATATATATATATATATATATATATATATATATATATATATATATATATATATATATATAAATATATATATATATATATATATATATATATAATATATATATATATATATATATATATATATATATATATATATATATATATATATATATATATATATATATATATATATTATATATATATATATATAATATATATATATATAAACGAAACTATCTTTAGCTCTTAAACTAAGATATCAACACGACTTTTTTTCTCTCTTTACTCACCCTCACTCATCACCCACAGACGGTCATGATGCCAGGTCCTCAGAGGTTCCTCAGTGAACACCTGATCCAGGTCCAGCCAAGCCAGTCTCACGTTGCTCATACCTGTCAACACCTGTCAGGTGGTACAACACCTGTCAGATTGTACAACAATGACACATTGAGGGAATTAAGACACATTTGCCACGGGTGGTTTTATTAATCAGTCGAGTCTTTATTAAGACTGAAAAAAATTTGCCAGTGGCGAAACGTATCATTCAATAAATGTTTTAATTATTATAAGGTGAAAAAAATTCACTCTGTTTCAGCACCTAGTAACAGCACCTAGTAACATTTCTTGGTAAGTCCTACCATGTTT